AGCTGCTGGCAACAAACATGCAACAGAAATAAAAGCAATGTTTACGAAATTCAAATAAAGTGAGATTAATCAGTAATTTTCTTACTATTCTTTTGTATGTTCCCAAATAATTACCTTTTCTAAAGCTTTGTAAATAAATTTGGTTGGTGTATAGTACATTAAGCGGGGCTAAAAAACAGCACCTAATAAAAATACTTAAGAAACATTAAGCCGAAAAGCTATTAGCTGAAAATATTTAAGATCAATCTACCTTAAAAGATGATTACAAAAATACTGAAATGTATTTTCATAAAAAAACCGTTAAAACATTATTAAGTTTTGATATTAAACCTGATTTTGATTGAGTATAAAAAAGTTTCACAAAAACCAGTGCCATAAAAAATATATTTAACAGATCAAATACTAAATAAATAGCATTCCTAATAATGTTAAACTAGTACAAGGAGAATAAGAAATTAATATATATAAAGTTTTGCTGGAAAACAATTTCCTCATTTTTTTTGGTTCTTTTTTAAGTTATTAACGCTAATTTGGAAATATAATCACATTATAAAATACTTCACTCCTATATTATTTGTCTATTTAATAGGGTATTTTCTGCTTGATTGGCAATTTCGCCTTTGTTTGCGTTTGGCATTGTTTTGGTTTCGTTTCGTTTCTGTTTTCATGCAAATGGTTGCAAATTTCTCAAATTAACGCGTAGGCGAACCAAATCAAGCCGAAAGCGCTGGAAGTGTCGCCGTCGCAGCACCACCGGCACCACCAGCACCATCGAAGCCACCTCATCTGACGACGCCCCCACCGGGCACGCTTCTCCCCCGCGGCCCCACAGCAAGTTCATTGAACCACCTACGAGAAATATGCAAATCGCCGCAGCGATGGATGCAGTAGAAAATAAATCAAATGAAATGGACTGGCAAAAACAAAAGGAAAACTAATTTTGACTCGAGATCTTTTGTGGCCTTTTGTGTGGTGTCGCTTGTAAGACCTAATAAACAGAAAAACAAAGCAATAATTGCATAATTTTTCTTATTTTTATTGCGTTTTTAGTTGCAAGCCCATTAGGGTGATATTAATGGCTTTCGCCTGCTGCGGAATTTTGGCCAAAAGCTGTCGAGGCAAGCTTCCTCGCATCGGACATTCGATATTGAGTATTCGATATTGGACATTGGCGTCGACTGCGTTTTTCTTAATTAATAGCTCTCAGATTTTTATTGCCGTACATCTTTGTCAAATCAATATTTATAAATTATTTATAAACGAAGAGGCCCGAACCCTAAACATGTGGTTAATTAAAATGATGAATGCGAAGCGTTTCAACTCGAAAATTAATTAAGCAAATTATCCATTTAAATAAACATAGAATGTGCCGCTCGCCTGCTCGATGGCTTTGCGCTGATAAAGCTGAAAGAAGTCGATTTGGGAAGCCATCGGAATTCGTTGGTCGAGTTCGCGGCTGCCAATTAGATGATGTCGGAAAAAAAATGCATTTTTAATTGCAATTAATTAGCGCTGTCAGTTTTCGCCATTGTTCGGGCAGAGTGACAAAACACTTGCCAATACTGAATTTCTGATGACCTTCTTTCGCAGACATCATTAGTGCTTTAGATTTAAGTAAATTAGATTTTTCCGTAGACTCTAACCAAAGTAAAACGACCACGCCCAGTTTTCTGCTCGATTAATAAAATATTCATTAGGCCTTTTGGAAATTTCTCACTTGATTACAGACCAAACCGATTTCAAAGGGTTGCCCTGCCACATGCGGCGTAATTAAATTTCCTTTGTGGTCTGGGAATTCGCTACGATTTTAATTGTGGCAGCCCACAGTGTTTTTCTGCCTATACGCCTAAGTATATATCTCTAAATATTTTTTTGTGGCAATAGGCTGGGCCCTTCATTCGTACAATTAGCAATTTCATGCGTCTTTGTGTCTGGTTTGAAGTTCGAATTTTCGTGGCCTTTATTCCATTCCGATTCGATTTGTTTCTGTTGTAATGTGTGAAATTGATTTTCGTTTGGCAATTGGGCTTGTAATGGCCAAAACTGAATTTTCTCACCCTGCGGAGGTCTCCGTTCGAAGACAATTAACCGAAATAGACGGGAATATCGGATGGAAGCGCTCTGCTTCCTACTGTCCAAGTTGAACTTGTGAAGGTTAGCCAGTGTAAACTGGGTCAGTTTTCGATGGGGAATGCTGTGGCTTATCCTCCACCAACTGTTTTACATATCGGCCATCCTCTGGCCAGGTCGGCTCCTTCAAAGCCGTTTTTGGTGGCGATTTATGGAAGTGGGGACACCTTCCTTGACAGCATCATCACCTGGCGCTGCCAGGCACTCGTACCCGAAACATTTGCAACATTCGCATTCAATTGACACTAACGGCTTTGTCATGTACTAGGCCACATGTAATCGCACGGTTTGTCTCTTCTGGAGAGCCAGTAATCATGCTCTAACGACACTCACAAACACGTATATAATTTGTATAGGCGCTGCGATGCGGCGGTGACTCGTCAGCGGGTTCATATAGAAATCTTGTAATCTGATAGGCATGACAAGAAATATTTTGCTTGTCATTAAATTTACTTTTATTTATGCAGCACTGTCTATCATTGTTGATGTTGTTGCCGCTAACGCTAACTCTAAGGCTGCCGTTGCTGTTCGTATTTCGCGTATTTTGTTTCGGCGGCGGCTTGAAATTAGTGAAAACTCTTCACATCGAGAAGACTGACTGACTGACTGACTGACTGGCATGGGGGAAACTTGAAAACGTATGCATGCATAAGTTGGCGCCTGCTAACGTCTTATAGTCATCGATTTTCGACCATTGTTGGTGCTGTTTGGTTTGCTTGGCTGGTTTTGGGGTTGAGTAATAGGCGAAATATTTGCGCATGCCTCATTACGGTTGCTTTTTGGGTTGCGGTAATCGATGGCAGTGTAAGCCAGAAATGCGAGGGAGTGGCGAAACAAAAGACTTAGGCAACTAACTTGCTGAAGCTAGAACGATAGCACTCAGTTCGCTGGGATGCGTGACATTTAATGTGATGACATCACAACGCAGCAGCAATCAAATGTCAACCAAGTGCGTCATCGATGGCAATCAATCGTGTGGACAAAGGGCAGCAAGTGGTGGCTAATCGGTAGCCAACTAGATTGACAGCTTCACTGACGAAACGACAGTCAAACAGACAGACAGACAGACGAACAGACCGACAGACATTCGGTCTAGACAACATGTGTAATGACGCGTACGTCGGGCAAAAAAAAACCGCAACAGCAACAACAATGGCCTGGCATAATGAGCACAATTACTGGCCAAGCGAATCAAATGCAACGCGCTACCAACGCTTTGAATCAGTCACATTAATTGCAGCCAGCAGCAGCAGTAGCAGCAGCTGCTAGCTCGCAAAAAACGTTCATAAATTATAGCAGTGGCGGCAGAAAAAAGTATTAATTAAAAAAAGGAAGAAAAAGCTGCAACGGTAACAACAGCTATTAAGAAAATTTCTTGTTGACTCATCCGAGTCCACAATTAACAACTCGCAGTCGCAGACTACCAAGAATCGCTGAGGCTGCGACTCTGGCCAGCATTTCTTGCACTCATTTGTCGCGTTTTGTCTCAGCCACTTGGCGATTTCTTTGTCAGAGCTTGGCAATTAAACAATTGTTGTTATCGTTGCTGTTTTTCTTTCTTTTATATTGCTTTTTTGTATTTGAGATGCAGCTGTTGTTGATGTTGTTCTTGTCGTCATCATTGCAGGCCATAAATTTTAGCTAATTCCTTACCCCCGTCCCTTAAAAGCACACGAGCCAGTGGCTGGGGATCTCGTGACTTGCGTTTCGCAATTGTGAGAATCGAGAATTAAATAATTCTTTGCATATTTATTTATAAACATTATTCCTGCCTCTTTTTCGCTCTTGAATTGCGATTTCCTTAAAGCTGATTAGGCTTTTTAATTCGCGATCTGTTTGGTTTCAGATAGCATAAATACGAATACTCTACTTTGAGGGAAATAAATATAACATAATGTATTTACAAGCTTCCTTTGTTTTGCTACAAGCTGTTTAAGTAATATCAAAAAATTTTTAACAAAAAAGAATAACAATATATTGGACAAGCTGTTTAAGTGAAAACATGTTGAAATTTCTTACTTCGTTAGCGCACTTAAAGTTTTTAAAATCATTTTTTATGGTGGCATAAAAGTCAAATGAATGCCAGTAATTACTAACATTAAGCATCGTTTAGTCAAAGCGAGACATATACCTCTGTTTGATAAATCATTAAAAGCCCCATTATTTGCCAAACATCAGCAATGACCAACAACACCAGTTCCTCTCCAAAAGCAACGCTTATGCCTCATGCAATTGTAATTATCTATATAAAATGAAACAAACAGAAAAACTCCGTTTGCTTACAGCTGCATTTCCTCTTAATTGAACGGGAGGAAAGAAAAAAATATAGCATTTCCAATAAATTGCATCACAAGACTCTCAACAATCCCACAACCGACAATGTGGACGCGTCAATTGTTAAAGTGTTGAAGTGTTTTTATTTAAATTGCCCGAAGTGAACTTGTAATTAAGGCTCACACTGATTATTGTTATTGCGGTTGCTGTTACTGGACTTTGTTTTTAGCATAAGTAAGACAAGAGATAAATTATTTTAAAAGCCATGCTGATGTTTTCTCTCGCGCAGTTACACACAGTGTGTGTGCTGGTGTGTGTGTTTCTCACTCTAAACCATAGCAATTAATTGTAGTTAAAAATGTTTTAACTAACGGTTTTATGGCCAAACAACAAAAGCGGCAGCTGACTTGTCAGTTAATTGTATTTGAAATCGCTGCCTCTGCTAATTGATAAATCTGTGTTGGCCAGGAGCCAAACGCTAGCGCTAGATGGGCGGCAGTTGCACATAAAATGCAATTACAAGCGCGTAAAACCGAGGCAAACGCTGCGACTCCGGTTCAACTTCAACTTCCACATCCACTTCCACTTCAACTCACCTGCGGCAGGGCAAATACGCTTTTGACAGCTCTGTGCTCGGAATCTCCCCCAGAATCTCCTTGCGATTCCGCCGAAGTAAGGCAACAAATACACACGCGATACCACACAGACACACACAGGCTACTCTAATACTCGAATACTCGGATACTTGGTCAGGCTCAATCTATGAAACGCGGATGTGGTTGGCAGCAAAAACTGGCAAGTGAAATATTTATGTAAATTTATTTCAGCTTATTTTTTCGTTGTTGTGCAGCAGCAGCGGCCAGGCTGTGTTGGTGAAATGCATTTGAAGACATTAAGCGGCACACTTGGCAATTGTCGTTGGGGTAGCACAGTGATTTGATTGAAGTGAGGCTGCCGACCAGGTCCACAAACCGACAAGCCGACAGTCCGAGTGGCAGGCGAAACGTTGTTTAACAATTGTTTCTTTTTTGTTTTTTTTATATTTGTTTTTGTTTTTTTTACTTTGCTGTTTTTTAGTTGCGGTCCGGCAGGATTTGAATTGTCAATTAGTTTGTTACGGCTGCTATCACCAAGCAATTCGGAGGCGCCCGAAGCGCCGTTATCTGCGGCAAACAAATGACACCACAAAATGGCAGCAAGTTCGTTGCCTAAGTCTTTTGTTTTTCAGCTCGACGCGAAGATTGAGCTGAATCTGAGTCGGGGACCAAGTTAGAGCCTCTGTTTCTTTATTTGTGAGTCATTAAAAGACCGCTTTATTGCAACATGTTTTTCTATATACAATATAATTAATTTACTGATACAAATATTTTATTGCACGCTCTTTATGTGATCTTTTGGCCAGCGAGTAATTAAAAATGAATTTAATTTAATTTGCCTTTTTTATTTAGACGCTCGTATGTTTTTTGTCGCCGATCGAAACGAGTTTGGTCTTTTGTTAATATTATTTTATATGTATGCTAGTCTTGTCTTGGCTTAGGGCACATATGTTTTGATTTGGTTTTATGGCCGCACTGAATGGCTTTTTACTGTTGGCCAGACTTTTTACGAGCACTATTTTTTGTAGGTAGCCGCACAGTAACAGATTAAGTTTGAGCGGCAGCTGCAGGCGGGATTTTCGATTTCATTCGCCCCCCAACCGAAAAAAGCATTTTCATTTCAATATCCGCGCAGTTCATTGGCCAGGCCACGAATAGCGACGAAAATCGCACGCAAAACGCACTGGAAACGCGCGCACGCGACAACGAAAAAAACGCTCACGCGATTCGCCAGCGAATCGAGAAAATCAACACACACAGTCAGCAATTCCGAACGTTTTTGGCGAACGTTTTTAGCGCGCAGTCGCAACCAGCTCAAACAGTCCCGCAAGAAAGTCGCACATAAACTGCAAGAGGATGAAAATTGCAATCGGCTCGCAGGCCGACTGCAGCAGCAGTCGCAGCAGCGACGCAGCAGCAGCAGCAACGACAACAGCAACACAATGCAGTTGCCGGTGCAGCGGCAACATAAGCAGGAGAATCAGCAGCGGCAGCAGCGTTGCAAAACGTTAAAATCTCTCGGCAAAAACAGGCAACAACCTCTCGAAGACCGACTGACCGAGTAATACAGTCCAGCACCCCAACAACAACAGCAGCAAAAACAACAACAACAACAGGAACACGGCCCGAACTCTCTGGCTGAAACGGCTGGAAAAAAAGCCGCTAAAAGCGCTTAGCCAAGAAAACCTGTTGCGCACCGATCGCTGCCAGCGTTGTTCGTTGCTTCGTGTTTATCGCGAATCTCTCTCTTAGCCCACTCTCTGCTGGCCAACTCCGTGCGCCTTCCAGTGGAGAGCGGAAGCCTTAGCGGTTAATTTCCAGTTGGCTGCAATATCAGTTGCCGATCAGCTTTTGACCAATAAAAAAGGGGTTCCAAGTCGGGCGTCTGGAACGACGTCGACTGCGCCGTCGGCAGCGGCTTTGCTGGCAAAGAGAAATCCGGCTAAGAGAGTTGACCCGCTCTTTCGGGCCACTTGCTTAGGGCCAAAACGGACTGATAAGAAATTGAATAAAATTATATGAATTTCATTAAGCCGCCACAAAACGCGCAGACACTCATACACCTTTTCTGCCCGGCCACGCCTGGACATTAAAGCTATCGGAGCTCATTTATCGGGGCGAAAAGGAAGCGAAAAGTGCTTTTTGGAGAATACTTTTTATATTTCATTTATTTCGATACAAATCATAATTGAAGGGGGCTCAAGCATAGGCACACAAAAAGAGAGAGGGGCAGGACGAGCTGTTGCAACATACAAGCGACACTTGCCACACGTCCAAAGGTTGCGGCTTTGACAATTTAATTGTCACACGCCCGCCACTTTTGGTCAGCTTCCCGGCAGCACGAACTTGCCGCCTCGAACTCTATTAACGAAGCCAATTGACGGACACTTGAATGGCCAGCCGCTGTCAGCAGCAGTGGGAGAAAGGGGCAGGAGACAGGGGCAGGGGTAGGGGGCTGGGAAAAGGGGGGTACGCGCAGTGAGACCCCGACCGCCGAACGGCATTAACATAAACAAGTGTTGCAGGAGTCGCGCGCTGCAAAAGGGTAACAGAAACATCCCAAACATTGTCATAAATAACGCAACAATGACAACTTGTTTGTGCGGTTACGGAATTGGAGCTGCGATTGGTATTGGGGATGTGCTACACGTGGAAAAAAATATAATCTTAGTCTTAGTCAAGTTAACAAAAGCTTTGCTCAATAAATAAATTATGAAATTTCTTTAAAATTAATTTTTAGTAAACAGAAATTAAGCTCTTTAATTTAAGTTTCCTGGAAATTAATAAAAATCAGAAAGCTTAAACAGGAAATTTTAGTAGCTTATGCTTTCTACTATTCAAAGCTTTTTTTATACATTTTTAATTTTAATTAATTTTATATATAAACTTTAGTACTTTAATTTTGATTTAAGGATATCCTATCTCTCATAAAAATGATTTTTAAATAATTATTGTGGGCTTTTAGTTAGGTTAATAATATATTCTAAGAATATTTCGTATAATTTTTCATTCTTTCAAAATATAATAAATGTTTAACTTTATAAACTCTTCAGTGTGAATGATTCTGTTTTTGTTTCCAGTGCAATGGCAGTACTATCGCACTCGAAATCGGAATCGCGGCCTATTGCAGCAATTGACGTGCGGCGTTTGCACCTAGCCGAGTATTTGATGGGTCCGCTGGTCCCAGAGGCGGAGGCCACATAAAAGTGGCGCGGCAATTGCCAACTTTGGTCACTGCCGGCGACAAGTGTAAAACGACTGTCTCCAGGAGTCGGCGCTGGGATCTCGGATATTATGGTTGGATCTTAGGCATTCGACTCCGGGCCAAGTGCTCCTCCTGGCACAGAATCTCGATTTGAGACTATGCAGTGTGTTTGTGTGTTTATGGCAGCTGCCGTTTGATACTCATTCAAGTGCCGCCTAACATGATTTCGGTGTCATCTGCTTTTCAGCTTTAATATTGCCTGTTTAATGTGACATTTGCTGTAGCCGTTGCTGTTGCCGCTGCTGGGCTATTGCATTATTTATGAGCTTCGCATTGGATCGTATCGGATGGGATCGGATCGACTCGAATCGGATGGAATGGGATGGGATAGGATCAAATCCGATGCCCACATTCACCTCCCATTCGCTCTCACCGCCTCTATGGCCCCTGGATGGCATCTGAAACGTTTCTCATTTTTAATTTAGTGATGATTGATGTCTTGTCCACGTTGCCTTGACAACGACACACTTGACTCTCCACTGGACCGACTGCGTCCCGCCGGATTCGCATTTGGCTCGCCTGTGGGGATACGCAGCTGTGTCGTTGGCACAAAAGTCAATTAAGCCGCGATTTAAATGCTGCCAGGGTCAGGCCTTGCGAAAGGAGCGCCCATCCATGGGAAGCTGGGACCGGGCATTTTGGACTGCTCTCGACAGGCATTTGGCCAGCAAATGGTCCTCGGCTACGTGCGGCTGCCTGGCCCCAAAAATGGGGCCCAGTGAGCGCCATTTGACCTGATTTTATTTGCACTATTTTACTTTTATTGCTCACTGTTTCGTGTGCACTGTGCGAAGTTGTATACTAACATTCTAGCCATAAGGATTTCGAAAGTGACAGACGATTTTAAAATAGTGTTATGTTTATGTGCATGTTTACAACATTTATTTGAAGCAATCTAGCAATTTAGTCAATTACAAATAATGGTAAAATAACTATATATTTGTAATATATTTTATTCTGTTTCCTAATTGGTAACAATAAAATACGGCAGCTTAGATCAAGATACTAGTAGTACTAGCTAGCATTTATAAAAACTAGTTTAGTTGTTTGTAAAAGCAAAGTTATCTTGGGGAACTGACCCCAACAATGAATTGCTCGATGGAAAATTTTAAAAAACTATTTCTTGTTTGTTTTGTACAACAATAAATGTTTTAGAACACAATAGTTCATCACATTTTAAGTTTTATTGGAATAATATTTAAAAGGATACAATTTTTATATGCAGCCTTCAAAAATCCATTTTTTTATTGTCTGAGTGCAGTTTGAATGAATGGGAAGCCGTTGCGAACTTCTCCCGGTGCACGGCAATGATGCGGAACTGAATACAAAATGAAATTGCATCCACAAATTGCCAGGGCGACGGCCATCGACAATTTCATTTCGTTACCAGAGGAGTGTTTCAGTGCTCGTACTCCTTCTGGCTGCTTCCATTTGGAAGCCGAAGTGCGGTTCAAAAGGTTTGCCAAATTATAAATTAAAAGTAAATCGAATCGAATGCTTAGCCATTTGTCTCTGAACTTGAAAGAGCTGGCGATGTGAAAGCCGGCTCAGGGGTCAGGTCCAAAAAGCCCGACCAAAGCGTTGCAGGTGCATGTGCATGCCAAATCCGTTTGTCAGCGTCAGCAGCGTCGGTCGTGTGTTTTTCCAGCTTGTTCTAATTTGCATGCAAACGGATCTGTGGACCGGACCGGACTGCCCTGCACTGCACTGGGCTGCACTGGACAGCATCGACCTGCCACCAGCCATGACGAATTACTTGACACCTGGACGGGCCATAAACGACGGCGATCGCTTTGGCGGGGGCGTTCCATTTGGCTGCGGTTCTTTGGTTCCTCTTTGGTTTTCTGTGGTCTCCTCGGTCATGGCCCAATCTTGTTCGGCCAGCAATTTCAATTGTTATTGATGGGGCCGGCAGGTTCCTGGCTAATTGCAATCGCAATTGCAATTACAATTGTCGCTGCTGCCAAAGACATCTCTCTTTCGGCTGATTTACGGCCGAACAGCGCCGCTTGATGAGCTGGTCGTCAGGTTTTAGTGCGTGCATCACTCATTGTTACAGTTAGAGAGCTGGCAGCTCTAATTTAATTTAAATGCAGTCCGCCAAAGCGACACCCGCCGCTGTCGCTCGTTTGTCCGCCTGCAGCGGCTTCGGTTACCACCGAGTCCAAGCGGATCTTGCTCCACATCCACATCTACATCCACATTAAAAACAACAGACACATCCACATCCACTTGGCTGCAGGTTTTCGAGTGTGTTTGCCTTGGTGGCGGTGAAATTTCTCCCGCCTGGCGTGGGCGTTTTGGCTCAAATGCCTTCAGCCGGTCTTTACGGCTGCTGTTTCAATGCGCTTTATTTTCTATGGCCCGGGCCAAGATTGCAATTCAGTTCCCTGCCATTTGGAAGCCAGCGCTGACATACAATAAAATTCTCACACGTAAAAAAATTTGATTTTACTTTGTGTTTTTTTTTTTTAAATTATATAATTTATTATCCAAAAATGTTATTAACTAAATGAAAGTGTCTTTTAATATTATATTATTTAACACCATTACCTCATAAATTTTTTTAACAAACATTTGTTGCCTTGAAAAAATGAGGAGTTTTTCATTTAACAAAGACATTTTCTCAAAGATGGTCATCATATTACTTATATTTTAAGTTGTTAAGTAAATATTTAGTTTTCCTTTGTTAGTTTTTTTCACTTTTTTTTGTTCTCTTCTCTTTTAAAAGAAAAAGTATTAAACAAATTAACATTTTCTGGATGAAAAACATAAATAAAATAACTTATTTTCGTGCTTCACATTTAAGAGAAAATTAGATGCATGATATTTTTAAAGACATATTTTCAATAATAAATCAAATAGACCATATTAATGTGGGTTTTTTAAGGCTACAATTTCTGGACAAAACTTAATGATCTTGTAATAGAAGTCATACAAATTTATTCCTTAAATAAAAGGCAAACATTTTTCCGAGTGCCGACGTCTTTTGGGGTCTCATTAAAGCACCATTTGACAGCCAGACAGACAAAACTCTCATCACCATCATCATCATCATAACTCGTGCGGGGGCATTATCAATTGTCATTGCCTGATCGCTGCTGTCATCGGACCGGGCTTATTGCTGTTAATCCATTCTGCCCGCTCTTATCAACATCGCCATCAGCGCAAACGCGAACATTTGTTAAACACTAAATGCACTTATTTGTTTTGCGGCAGCGGCAGCGGCAGCCTCAAGAATGCAATCAACGTTGGCCACACAGCAACTGCAACTGCAACTGCAGAAACTGCGGAAAATGCTGGGCAAAAAATAAAAACAGCTCCCTGGATGACTGCCTAACTGAGTGACTGACTGACTGGCAGTGGTTTTTGGTTTTTGGCCCGGCTGCTCAGTGGGGAAGCTACTAAAATGAGGCAGTCTCCGGGCTGAGAGCCAGCTTTTTAGACTCCCACGTTTGCGATGGCGCATTGCACAAATTGCATTATTTGCACGCCGCGCAGTTGCAGTCTGGCTGACTGCTGTTGTTAGTATTATCATCAACATTGTTCTTGTTTTTCGGTCTTTTTCTGCGGCACTTGACGCCACGAGAACATAAAAATGCTTTTCAGCACTCGAAATGATGATGACTCCGCCGCCTCCCTTCTTGTTCAGCTAAACTACTCCAGTCAAAATAGCATTTTAATAGACGCAACAGCAACAACAACAGCAAAAGCTCGACACGACGACCCAGAGCCAAAGTTGCAGAGCCAAAGTCAGTGAACATGTGAAAATACTTTGGCCAACCGCAACGGAGAGGGGAGGTCTCAGGAATTGCCAGCACACGCTTTTCTAATTTAAGAACCTTTCGCTGCATGTCCAGAAATTTGACATCAACTTGCCGCTTGCCAAATGTTATCTAAGCCACAAACGGAATCCAGTTAGCTGCGTCAGTCGGAAGAGCAAACAAAAGCGGCAAAAGAGGCTGTCGAGGGGCAAATACTACTATTACGGCTAGACGCCCTGTTTGCCTGAGCACTTGACTTGCCCCATTTGCTGCCGGGGTGGTGGGTGTTGCACTGGCTCATGATGTTGCTGCTGCTGCTGCTGCTCTTGATGTTGCTGGTGTAATGAGCAACAACTGCAACTGTTGCTGCCGCTGAGCTGGCAAGTGAAGTGCTCATCATGACAGCTGCAAAATGCAAGGCGAAGATGATTTATAATTGTCATAGACTTCCTGGTTTTGTTGTTTAAACGGAACGATGAGTGAAAATCCGAGCACTACCAGCTCGAACCATATCCATGGCATATACATTTCAGCACCTGCTACAAACATGATAGCACTCCCCCGTTTAAATAAAAAAATCTTTGGCTGAACCAGAAAACGTTTGCTATTTAGAATTACATCAGTTAAAAAAGGGTTCTTCATTTAATTCAAGAGATTTTTAGCTGAACAAAAGTGCTGCAGAAAAGTATTTGATTTTCAATTTAGAAGTTTGGTTTCTAATAAAAACAATCAATAGTTCGCCTAGTTTTGTTTTCTGATTTTAAATTGATTGCTTAATATAATTTAGCGGAGCCACTTTAAATTTGCTCAATCTAGAATTTTACGAGCTTATGTTAGTATGCGAAATCAAGTTTTTCTTCGAATGTTAATAATCATTAAAGCTGCTTTGATTTGGTACGTTTATGCCAATAAAAAAATTTTATTGGTGCTGTTATGAATGCATTTAAATTAAGTTTAAGGTTGGATATGTTATGCTTTCAAAAATCTTTATAAGATGGTAGTAAAATTCAACAGAATTATGGCAGTGCTCCAAATAAAAGTAAGTATAACCCATAAATCATTCCATAATTGATACATTTTTATTTATTAGAAAAATAACCAGAGCAATGGTATGTATTAAATAATATGACTTTTGAAACCATAAGGCTGTAATTTATATTTATCATTCCCGAGTTCATTTCAAATTGGATCAGTAACTCAATTGCCGTTTCCTTTTCTTTGGGGCCGCAGTTCCGCATCCAACAATAGCCACCTCAAATGGCCAAGAGGCAGCCGACTTATGCAACTCCAGTCAGCCGTCGACGGCTAGGCAATGGCGGGCAATTAATTTAATTGCAAACGGCATGAGAGCTCGCCACGCCCTGAATTTATTTTAATTAGCCCGATATTCGCTTCATTATATTTACATACATCAACTGCAGCTCCAGCAATCCGGCGATCCGGTGAGGCGAAGCGAAGCGCTGCCCAGAAATAGTGCGGTCTAATAAGTGGCATTCATAATTTTATTGACTGCCAGGCCAACCCAGCAACGACAGCAACAATAGATAGTGGGGCGATCGATTGATGGCGAGTTCTGAGATTCAGTTTTGAAATCCGCTGCAGCAGAAGCGCCGGAGGCTCTCGAAATTGGACATATGCCAGTGTGCCGGTTTTGGGCCAGGTCGATACTAAGTTTTTCGACATTAGTTGGCAACTTTTTGAGGCCCAAAGCTGTCACGCCGACAGACCGTCAAGGAGAGATCACAGAAATGGGTGAAAATACTTTTTTATTAAAACATTGTAAATACTCTTATAAGGAAGGTAATTTAAGCAGAAATTAATAAAATTAAATTTCGTTATTTAAAAAAGTGGCTTTTAAAATTCTACATAATTATGCCACTTAAGCAAGGGTAAAAAATAATTAAGCTTAAATAATACAAAAAATCTATGCATTTACTTAAACTGATTCTGAATCAGCTTGTGTAAATTAAAAAAAAATGTATTTAATAGAGAAATTTGTTTATTTAATGCTTTTTAAATTGCTATTATTTTAATGATCCAATTTTTTAATTGTGTTCGTTGCTTGTAAACTAACTGAAATTATATATTTTGTTCCAAAGACAAACGTATTTTATTTGTAAAATAATGTAGCTGAAGCAGGTAACACGATGTTATAAAAATATTCTATTGTAACATTTGCATTAGAAAAACGAACCATTTTTGGAATTTTGAATAGACTTCAAGTGGCCCTAATTAAACCATCGGAAAGGGTACAAACACCCAAAAGCCACAACACATTTGCCACATTTTGCAGTGTTTGCTAAGCAGGCACACTTTGAGTCGGATCGGATCTGGCCAAAACGGAGTGGAGTGAAGTGGATCAGAGCTGGCTGGATGTGGATCTGGACTGGCCCCAGACCCTGACATATTCCTCGTTGACGGCGCACGATTTGGACGGAGGTTGGATCTCGCCCTGGAGCGGATCCAAGGCGGATCGAGGGCATCATTATGATGTGACTGTGACGGGCGGACAACCTTTCGGGAGGGGCTGTGCTTGCCCTGCATTTGCAACATTTTCATTTCCATTTTCATTTTCGTTTGGTGGCTGCTCGTTTCGCTGCCATGTGGCACATTTATCAGAAAATGCCCACTGACATTTGGCCTGCCACTTGAACTGGGTTAGCGGTGCAGCCAGCTCTACGCTCATTAATGTTATTTGTTGCCAAAATAAAAACGGAGAAAAAAATTGGTTTGCTTGACCCCGGGGCATCACCACAATTCGGGTTTCTCAATACGCAATTTCTTTGGCAGATTGCGAGATTTACCAAATTGAATTGGCCAAACGATCGGATCGGATTGGATCGATCAGAATGTGTAATTAGAGGGCGATCGAGTCGAAGGGCGGTCCGAGCCCTAATGAATGCCGACCGCTAATTAAGTTTTTAATGATCCACATTTGGCGCGTACAAGCTGGCAAATCAATTAGCGCCCGCAGCCAGCCAACAACATGGCCAACAAATGAGCCCGGCCCAGACCAAATGGTTTTGACAATTGCAGCCGAACTACGCCCAAGCGCGGCCCGCAATCTCTGATGTAATCTGGCCAATTGGCGTCGTTGGCCTGAAATATGTTTTATCGCATTTATTATCAGCTGCACCAAATCGTCTATAATTGAAAAACTGTTAACTAGATTAGCTGCCATTAGATCGAGCGTTGGGGGCCAACGAGCCGGGCCAAGTGGGTCTGGTCTGGTCTTTGACTGGGTCCGGGTTCCAGATCCATATCCAGTTTGGGGCCATTTAGCGGGTCCAGTGCGACGCCACTCGGCCATCGAGTTGGCCAAAATGGCGCTGGCCACATTCATAAATAAGCCGCGGCTGCCCCAAAGGGACATGCCATCCATTCTCCATTTTCGAATTTTGTTTATTTATTTAAGTGCCTCCAAATCAGCCTTTTGCTGGCTGCTCTTTGAAATCTAATTAAGTTGTTTAAGTGGAATTTGTGGCCATAAAATTATGCAAATCTTAGGGGTGCGCACCACCGCCACCGCACTTCTACCCCACTCAATGGACACTCTGCGGATGCATATTTGCATTGGTAATTTGCACGCCAAAAAGCCCACAAAGCCTCGGGGGCCTCAACTCTTGGCTCGTAAATCATAAGTGGGTGAGTTACGGCTCATATTTGTTGTGTTTTCTAAGCGCCACTAAAATATTGGGGGAGCTCGAAATAATTTCATTTTACTGCCGAAATAATTGAAGGGTGTGAGAGCGTTTCGAAGTGGAAAAGTTCTCAGGCCCTCGGAAAGCCATTAGTTTTGGTCATAAAATTCGGCCTTTATTTCCCATTTCACATGATTTCTGTTTGGCGGACAGTACATACGAGTTTATGTATTTATATATCTCGTTTGGTGCCCACACAGGTGCATAAAGATGTCAGCGCTTAACTTATCAAGTCAGACAAACAGACAAACAGACAAACACGAACGGCAAACGCCAACGACGATGATGCGACAACGATGTTAATACAATAAAACCACTGTAATTTCGGATTTGGTTTATTTGCGTGTCGCTGCTGGTCACAAAATACAAGTAGCGCCCACCGCTGACCGTTTATCAAACAACAATAAACTGTAATTTATGAAAAATGCCTGTAAAATGACGATAAAACAAGTGCCACGACCACGACGACACCATCGCCGGCCCAAGCAGCAAAATGCCGCTGTGCAGATGATGATGATGACATGGACATGGCTGCCAGTCTTGTGCGGAGCCAGCGTTCGAAGATTGCAACCTGCAACCTGCAGCTTGCAGCCTGCAACTTGCATCTCGCACCTTGCAGTGGGTGTGCTCGTGGCGGAGTGGATATGTGTGTTCGGCGGAGTGGCAAAGAAGACAACAATTCATTTGGCCGGTATGCCATCTCCACGTCGAGTAGAGGGGTCGCGGGTTAGCGGGTTCGCCGATCCCCAGCTGCATTTTCACATTTGGCCCGGGCATTTGACCATTGTCAACACGCTGGTTTGTTGTTCGAGTCGCCAGCAATTGTCTTTGTACCGCGTAGATGTTGCGGTTGTGAGGTATATAAATTCAGTCTTAATTTATATTTGTTGTATTTCCTACCTACTCTCAATTTTACTTACTTCCTTATTTTTAAAATAGCTTCTCGCAAGCAATTGTCTTGTCACCAGATTTTGCGGTTCTGGGGTATATTAATTCATTAAAAAATTTATATTTTTGTACTTACAGAATTTTCTTAATTTGAAACTTACCGCCAGCAAATTATCTTTAAGCCCAGTAGATATTGTGGTTCAGGGGGATTCAATAGATATTAAGGTTTTGTGGTCCTGATACACAATTTGAATTTCTTTCTATTCCCAGGATTTGATAGAATTTAGACATACTTATAGATGTAGGCCTACTTATGTATCTAACTGTTACTAGAATATTCAATATTTTACTGTTTTTAAGCATTTTAAGGTTCAAATAAAATGTAATACAGTTGGTTTTCGTATATTTTTATTAATTTTTTATTGGCATACCTATAGTTATTCTGATATTTGTGTTAAAAATAAAAACACACTATTCTATTGTTATACTACTATTGTTACTTTTGGTTTTTTTTGTAAAAATAATATATTTCTTAACTCGTAATGACTTGCGTTTTATAGCTTAGGGTATCTGCCAATCGAATACTTCCCAAGGCAGCATATTTTCTGTTTATTTGTGTCACTCTGGCGACAGGTCAGAAAAGCCACAATTTTGTGCGTCGCAACTTTTGCTTTCGAGCGTTGGCGCGAGCTCCTTTGCATACGCTGCATTGCATTGTTCTCGAAACTCCTTCTGTATTTACATTCGAAATGAGTGGCCGAAAGGGTTCTGCAAGTCAGCCCCTAAAAATGCTGACAACTTCAAATCGTACCGAACAATGCTTGCCGGGCATTAAAAGCAGGGCTCAACCCTTCAATGGGCCACAAGTCCGAAAGTGAGGCATGTGGCAACAAGTGCAGTTGGTGGAGATCTCTCATTGGCATCGATCTGAGGTTCTCCAGCGGTTCTGGACACATTTGAGGGTGGAACTACGATTCCGGACACTGCTCTACTACCGCTTGGGTTCATGCGATTGCTGGTTCGAAGAAGTTTTGGGAACCGAAAACTCAACGACTTTATTGTGGACCGACCAAACATACCCACATTATCTGAGACACCTTCAGGACATGGATATATTAGCAGTGGTCTGCCTGAGATTGACTCAATACAGGCAGGTATTGCACGCATTGAGCTTGATACTGGACCAAATACGGAGTATGCCAGTGGTTTTGCAGCATTGTGGAGAGGAAAATTCGACCGAGGAGCAGAACTTGGCTAGCGCCCTATTTCGACAAAGTCAGGAGCTGAAATTTCCCAATGTTCTGCTGCTATCGTGGAACTTTTTTAGCTCTAAGACTTTCTACGCCTTTGAAATGTTCCCAGAATTGCAGGTAAAGAGACTAGTTTATCACGCATACCTCACCCTGTTTCCCCACAAGCTGGGAAATCTCCGAGGACATGGCATACGCACCTTTCCAGACAATTCGGAGCCACATACCATTGTGCAAAAGGGCTTGAATGGTTCTTTTACGATAAATGGACCCGTGTGGGAAGCTATGCTCGAGTTTGCACGACATATTAATGGCAGCCTGGAGCTGGCAGGAGAGCCAGTTTTTGGAAAGTCCCTAAGATATGTCCAGGTTCTTGATTTGGTAAGGAACCAAAATGTGGATATATCGGCCAGTTTGCGACCCTATGGTCACCGCATCAGCAGGCACATGCTTAGCTATCCAATGATGGTGGGCAATTGGTGCCTGATGCTTCCTACGGAAAGGTCTCTTAGCAGCCACGAGGCACTGAGCAGGTTAATGGACTCACCTTTCACCTGGCTGATTTTGCTACTCCTCTACATGCTGCACAAGCTGATAACTCAAAGAACTCGACGAAGAAATCCCATTTTTCACCTATTAAAACCATTAGCCCACCTGGCGCTCCTGTGTTTCCTGCAAGCCCAACTTTCGGCCTATTTTATTGCACCCCAGCAGGTGAATCATATAACCAACATGCAGCAAGTGGAGGAATCGGGTCTAAAAATCAGGGGATTGCGACAGGAGTTCATGGAATTCCCCATCCAACTGAGGAGCAGATATGCCACCTCCTTTCTGCTCCACGATTTGTTCTACGATTTGGCCAAATATCGGAACAGTTTCAACACTTCATACGGATATACGGTGACTTCCGTGAAGTGGCAGCTGTACAAGGAGGCTCAGCTGCATTTCCGGCGTCGTTTGTTCCGCTACTCGGAGGACATTTGCGTGCAGAAATTATCGCTTTTCTCGCTTATATATGAAAGCAACTGTCTATATCGCCAGCAACTAAAGGAATTCAATCTGCGTCTCCACGAGGCGGGACTTATTCGGCTCTGGTACCGCCACTCCTACTACCTGATGGTGAAGTCAGGACGTTTTCTTTTCGGAGACATCAGCTCATCCCGTCAGGCACAACCGATTACTTGGTCGGAATGGCAGTATGTGGTGGCGCTTTATGGGGTGGGTATTCTATTTTCAACGGTGGTCTTCACCATCGAGCTCACTGTCCACTGGGTAAATGTTTGCCTACGAAACTTGTAAGCAACATGTCCAGGCAGCAAATAAGAAACATAATGGGTTACCTATTATATAGCAAAAGGGGTATGTTGTTTTAATGGAAATATTGTTTTTAATAGCCAAGTTAAAGCTCAAGCTCAATTTGTAACAATCAATGTATTGTAATGTGAGAGGAGTTGTGACTGCAATTTTGACAATTTGAATGCTGAGCCAAAGTAAATATTCACCAGTGGGTATCCAATATCGAAGACAACTCAATTCAGTTTATTGATGTTTGATTTTTGTACTAGTGTAAATGTACTTTGTAAATAGAGTTAAGTGTGTAGCGTCCCAGAAACTTTCCAAGCAATAAAGCAAATAAAATACCTTTTATTATGTATAACTATGGATAGGAAAAAGTTAGTTCTCTAGGATGTCGTCAAGCGGTAATAGTCTTTACGCCAAGCTCGTGTCACTAATAAGCCGCGGTCAAGAGCTTACCAGCATTTTCTTCTATGCCCCAGTAGAAGAAAAATGTCACTTGGAGGATACCCTTGCTTCGGCCACTTGGGGCCTGCCTTTGGTGATATGGCGATCGAATAGGACTGTGATCCTAAACGGATTTCTCGGCGAGGAACTCTTTGTGCTGGCCTGTCTTCCAGGATTAAAGTGGCGAGCTCTACTGGGCAGCCTGTCTAGAAGCTTAAAATACCTAAGACAGGCCAGGGTACTGATTGAACTTATGGAGGCCAGGAACGAATTATTGGTACAGAAGGTGCTGGAATTTAGTCTGAGTCAGGAAATGACTAATGCCAATGTTATTTTCGGTGACTTTGCGGAGACTCAAAGAGTGAGCATGTTCGTGGCCTTTCCACAGTTCAAAATGGTGAACTATTCTTTTACGGAGAATACCAAAGAGTCTGATTTGTACCCGGATAAGATGTTGGACCTCCGTGGCGGAGTAATTCGAACCATGCCGGACTACTCCGAGCCAAACACCATTCTGTACCATGACAAGCAGGGCAACAAGCAGATCCTCGGCTATTTGTGGGACATAATAGAGGCCTATGCCAAGAAACACAATGCCCAGTTGCAGGTGGTCAATAAGTACGCGGATGGCAGGACCCTGAACTTTATCGAGTTGCTGGACGTGGCCCGAAGCGGAGCTATAGACATTGCTGCCAGCATTCAGCCCATGTCGATGGGAGTCCTAGAACGCACTCACGAGATGTCATATCCGGTGAATCTGGCCAGTTGGTGCACCATGTTGCCGGTGGAGAGGTACCTCGATGTGTCCGAGCTGCTTTCGCGCGTTATGCCCTTTCCGACCTTTGCCCTGATGATATTCCTTTGGATTATCCACCAGATGGTGTGTGGTCGATGGCCACGTCATCGGAAGCTCCAAAGGATAGGCTGGCTGGTGCTGGCCACTCTGATTAGCACCAACTATCTGGGCAGACTGCTCAATCTCTTTGCTCACCCTCCAGCTCTGCCACCGATCGACAGTCTGGCGGCCTTGATCGAATCTCCGCTGCGCATTATCTCGATTCAAAAGGAATATGCCTCCATCGAGTTTACCCAACGCACCAAGTACTCCGCCGCCTTTCGTCTGACTTCGAGGGCCGCGGATCTGATTGAGATGAGAAATGCGCTGAACACCTCCTTTGGCTATACTGTCACAAGCGAAAAGTGGAAGCTGTACAATGAGCTGCAGAAGCGCAGCTCGAGGCCTTTGTTCCGGTACTCCAAGGACCTGTGTTTCTACGAACTGGTGCCCTTTGGCCTGGTCATTCCGGAGAACTCAGCCCACCGGGCTCCGCTACACAGATTCATCCTGCTGCTGTGGCAGTCGGGATTGCACGACTTGTGGGTCTCCAGGGGCTTCTCGAATATGGTGAGGGCGGGAAAGATACATTTCGCCATTTTCGGGGAGCGTTACCAGGCCCACACGCTTAACATTACGGATCTGAGACACGTCCTAATGGTTTACGGTTATGGGGTGCTAATTAGCCTGTTTCTGTTTGCCTGCGAGCTGGCTGTCAGTTGGATAAGCTATTGGCTGGGCCTTTAGTTGTCCACGCGGCAATTACGGCGATGGCTTCCGATAAATCGAGTGAAACCCCTCCTCCCAACCACTCATCCACTCAACCACTCAGTAAATAATAGAGACAAGCCAGGACAACAACAATAACAACAAAACAAATGAAAACTTTTGTGTTTTGTTTCGTGACGGTGACAAGGGCTCCGAGTCCCCGATTTCTGGCCAGGAGACAGCAGTTAACAATGCTGTTGAATGGTTTCCTACCGTCTTACACCTTCGAGCTGCAAGCTGCGAGCTGTGAGCTGCGAGGGCAAATGCAATAAATGCAAATTGCCTCCTACGAAGTCACCGCAGCGACACGACGGGCACCACGAAATGAGACCCCAATCGAGGGGGAGATGAGCCACTACTGAGCCACCACGAACCACCAGCACCACCAGCCGTCAGGCAACCGCAGCAGATCCACCAAATTATGTAAAAGCCTTGGCAGCAAAAACCAGCAAATTGTGGCCTAGTGTCGGAGTTGTCTGTGCTAGATGTCTGTTTTGTTGCATTTTGGTGGGACGACGCAGTGTGAGAGTGGCTGACTCTGAGTGGCTGGCCCGTTTTGATTAACATAAAGCGAATAATAGACATCGACTGCCAGCAACGTGTACAAATTTGATTTCACGATTTTGCACTATTTAGCCGGAGAAGCTAAACCAACACCTGCAACATTTGGGCCTTTGGTAATTTTGACAGCTGAAGATGCATTTTCGCTTAGTTTCCACGGCTGTCAGTTGTGTGTTGCAACATGCACATCTCAATTTCAAATGACGTCTAGTTAGGCAAATGAATCGAATCTTTTGGGCACATGAATTGGCCCAGTTTTATTGTTTACCTTTTAGAATTATCCAGCCCCATGCAAAATCGATGACTAGATTTGACTTTTCGGGCTAAGACAATTGGCACGCTGAGGGCAATTTATGACACACAAGAAGTGCCACGATTTGGTTGACAAATTTCCCCAAACACGAAGCCTGGGAAATGAATTATGTGGCCGTGATCGGCGGGAAAACTCAAGCCAAAGCGCGGCTGATCGAGCGGGGCAAGATCCGCACGACATGTGAGACAATTCCCGGTCGTGGCCAACAATCGATTCGCGGTTCGCGATTTGCTGCAAATTATTAAACGATCTGTGCCGGCGAAGGTCAGCGGAGTAGAAAACACGCGTGAGCGGGCCGCAAAACTTTCTCCGCAAGACGGATGCGAGGGTGTTGTCAGCTGCCAAGAAGGATCAGGCTTGAGCCAGCCTCGACCATAAAACCTCTTGGCCGGCCAAAGAGACGCCGCCTGAACTTTGAATGGCAGCCGAAACAAGTCGGGAGCTGTGACGGCCATCACCGAAGTTTTGAGACCCTTAAAACTATTAAAAATATTAAAAACCTTCTTGTAAACCCTCAGTGAAAAGTCCTTTAAATGCTTAAGTGCTTAAATGCTCATTTATTGAGTTCGCTTGCGTAACATGTTTTTATTCTTTCAAAATAAGGAGCAAGTTTAAAACTACTCAGTTTGATTTTATTGCACTTAATTCACTAACACAGGTTAGTATTTATCCAAGGAGCTTTTAAATTCCCAGCAAACTTAAGCATAGTGTTACTTTTAATATTAAAAGTTTCTTTATTTTCTGATTCACCTAATAAAAAGAAAACCAAAGACCCTTTGGCAGGGTAGGCATATCAAGCCAACAAATATTTCGGCTTAAAAATTCTACAGCTGCAGCTGGCCCTCTGGGCTCGGCTTGTCGTATTTTCTCTCTGGCTTTTTGTTTTGTTTCACAGCATTTCGGTCTGTTTTCGCCTGCGTTGCGGTTGCCTTGCCCACAAGTTTAAAGGTCAGGAATTTATGGATTTTACATGACTGCAGAGACATTTCCAGATACGAGTAATCGTAACTTCAACAAACTGGGAGTTCGCCTTGAACTCATACCGTTCCGCAGCGAAATCGCATTGATTATCGCTGGACAAACTTCAATTCCCATATTGCAATTGTCCCCGTATAATTACGTGTGATAATCACTTGATTTCCAAAGCAAACATTGATAGCCAGTGAGTCGCTTCCAGTCTGGAGTCGTTTACTTTAGTCTTCTCCGGATTCACTTTGTGTAATGTTGTCCAACCGCAGTTTTAGTCCTGCTCCCGAGCTGTTCGATCTATATGGCTTAGTCCTGCGGATTTTGGTGCCTTTGGAGACGACAGTGTTCTACTTCAACCCCACAGGAGTCGATTGCAGTTGGGAGACACTAGTCAAGACTAGCTTATCTCAGCAACCTCAGATTGTTTGGCGGAGGGCAGACGACTTCCCAGGATTGTACAACCAACAAGGCCGCAACCTCTTTGTGATGGCCTGCTTATCTAGCAGCTATTACGAAGAGCAACTCAAGCTTTTGGCCACCAGTTTGACGCGTTTAAGGTCGGTCAAAATCCTCATCGAGACGCAGGGCAAGGGCAGCTCATTTCTGGCCTCCCAAATTCTGTTGCTTTGCCAGCAGCACAGTATGCTAAATGTGGTGCTGTTTTTCCAGGGTTGGACTCGCCCCTTCACCATCTTCAGTTACCTGGCCTTTCCATATTTCAAGCTTGTCAAGCAGCGTTTTTCGGCAGTCTCCACAGCCAGTATCTATAGAAACCAGATGGCGGATCTACGGGGCTACCAATTACGCGTTCAACCTGATCTATCGCCTCCCAACTTATTCGACTATCAAGATCGGATGGGCGAATATCGACTAGGCGGTTTCATGTGGCACATTATAGACAAGTTTGCCGGAACAATGCGAGCAAACATTAAGATTCTATATCCCACATGGTCAAAAGTCAAGATGATGAGTGCGGAATACATGATAGAGTTTACCCGGAACGGCAGCTCGGATATCGGGCTGACCACCACCATGACTGCTTTCAAGCACGAGGAGAGGTACCGCGACTATAGCTACCCTCTGTTGTTCTCCAGTTGGTGCACCATGTTGCCCGTGGAGAAGCCTGTAAGTGTCGACAGCTTGTTCGGACATGTTCTGAGTCCTGGCACAGCGATTGTTCTACTCTTGGCCTGTGTCTTGCATTTCCTGGTACTTCCCTGGCTGCTTACATTTATGGGCTTCACCATTCGGGGCCGATTAAATCGGGTGTCTCAAAGGATTTTTGTCCTGGTGCTGCTCTGCGCCAGCTCCGCACAGCTGCTCTCCCTGCTGATATCCCCGGTACTGCACAAACGAATCGAAAGTTTCGATGACCTCTTGGAATCGGATTTGAAAATCTTCGGATTGCGCAACGAGTTTTATTTTCTGGACGGCGCATTCCGGGCAAAGTACGCTGCAGCTTTTCGCCTGAGTGACGATCCCAATGAACTGTACGACCACAGGAACTACTTTAATGCAAGTTGGGCCTACACCATCACCACAGTCAAATGGAAGGTGATCGACGCCCAGCAGAGGCACTTTGACCATCCTGTTTTCCGCTTCTCGAAGACCATGTGCTTCAGTGGAGCCTCGTCAAGGGGCTTGATACTAGCTCCGGAGTCCATCTACCGTGGACCCCTTCATCTGTTCAGCCTGCGGGCGGAACAGGCTGGACTAATCGACCACTGGATGACACACAGCTTTTATGAAATGGTCAGGGCGGGACGCATGACCATCAAGGACTACAGCTCTACTACCATTTTGCAGTCCCTGCGGATCAAGGACCTTCGATTGTGCTGGCTGAACTTCGCAGTGGGGGTGGGCCTTTCGTCCGCCGTATTCACCATCGAATTGCTTCTGATCTACACCAACGTATTTCTCAACAGCTTGTAGTGCTCGGCTTGGCTTTGTCATTTTCCCCGGCAAATAAATAAATGCAAATTGCTCACCAGGAAGACACCGCGAAGACACGACCCGGGCCACCAAATAAGACTGCGAGTGCGAGTGCCGAGAAACAAACCAGCCACAACAGATCCACCAAATTATGTAAGGCCCCAACACCAAAGAAGCTGTCTAAAACCAACAATTTGTGGCCTACTGCCACAGAGGTGGTTACACTTAAATTCAAATAAATTAACTCAATTTGATTGGTTTATTTCTTAAATTTGTAAAATTATTTATGTTCTTGATTAAAATGAAGTGTCAAACACTTAAATATTATCTAAGTCTATGGATTTTATCATCATCAGTTCTCCACTGTATTTTTAAATAAATTATATTTAAATTATTATTAAATTATTACTTTTTTTGAGTGTAGAAGAGTGTTTGATGTCTGTTTCTTTCATTTTCGTAGGACAACGCAAAATCTGGCTGTCTGAGTTTCTAGCCTGTTTTGATTAACATAAAGCGAATAATAGACATCGACTGCCAACAACGTGAACAAATTTGATTTCACGATTTTGCACTATTTACCCAAAGAAGTCAACCAACACCTGCAACTTTGGCAACAACACGCGACTTTTGGTAATTTTGACAGCTAAAGATGCATTTTCGCCTCGTTTCTGCTGCTGTCAATGATGTGTTGCAATATTGCACATCTCAATTACAAATGAAGCTTACCATAGTTTAAATAAATACTTCATAGCTTCTATACAACGTTTTTTGGCCCAATCAGTTGCAAATTTCCGAATCAGTTTTTGTCTACTTATATCAGTTTCTCTATCAAAACGATGAGAAGTAAGAGTCAAAAGATGGAATGTCATACATCACTGAATTCGTCATTAATTTGGCAATCAAGTGGCATTCGCAGTTAAAAAGTTATAAGTTTTTCAAATTTTTGAAAAATATTATGATCTTCCGCCTTATAAAAAATGCTAAAATAGGTCATAAAATAAATTTCAGTTTAACTTATTAGACTTTTCTTCTTGCATGGCTTGAATTTTGTTCAGTCTCTGTTTTTTTTTATAAATGCTCCAGCAGAAATGGAAATCGTTCTGCCTTTACCTTGGGTCCGTCTTATGACTCACTTGGCAGACCTGCTGACCCACCATCGCCGCGGTGGTTTCGACTGTCCAGGTGTTCAATTAAGCACTGACGTTGACCTTAATACTCGGGCCGCTGGAAACGGATTGAAAAAGTGCCAGAATTTCTGACAAATTGTCGCCGAATGTGCGCAAAAATCAAGTTTATGGTCAATGGATGGCGAAAAAAAAATATCAAACAGTACAGTAGTATGGATGTCAACGAAAATTCTGTATTGCTGCTTAGAAAGTAGCTGACATTAAAATGCCAAGAAAATGCCGATGCCGATGCTGAGGTGCTGAAATATGCATTAAAATGGCTGATGAAGCGGCTTGTTCGCTGGCAGGATTACCAAATATTTGCGGCTGCCAAAAGTCAAAAGAAATCAATCAAAATGCCACAATCAACGACGACCACCGCAAGGCGCCAAAAGGCAACAAAAGTAGTTAGGGCGAGAGGCCGACGGAAGCGACAGTCTGACGTGTGCCCAAGACGCTTAGTGGCTGCCTCTGCTGCTGCTGCTGCAAGCCTGGCTCTTTTTCTCCTTTTTTTATTTCTTTTCTTTGCAACTGCAGCATCCAGCGGCAGACGGACGGCCCCATGTCTCTAAGTGGACAACAAAACGCCTCCAACACTTTTGGGGCGCGAAAAATGTGTTGCCAAGCCAAGTCGGAGTTGGAGTCGGAGTTGCAGTTTCCCTGGCCAAGTGTTTGCGATTCGAGCCAAAAGAGTGCTTGGCTGAATGCCTAATGCCGCTTAAAATTGCAGTTGCACTTACAGGGGCGGGCACGGGAATCCAGGAACACCGGTGTGTTCGCAAGTGTACATAAAAATAAAATAAATAAGCCCGCGCTGATCTTCATTTGTTGTTGTCGCCCAGTTGACATCGCCTTTGGCATGGCATCGTCATCGTCATCATCTCCATCTTCCTGACATATATTTGCATAGTTTTGTCGAGAACAAAATGGCAGCAGCGAAACAAAAAGAAATTCGTTGACAAGTGTCAGTCAGGGACATCGTGCCGGGCAAATTTGCATGTGGTCGCATCTCACGCTTCAGACACAGCCCAAAATAAAAAAACACAAAAAACAAATTCGGTAAAGAACGGAGTTCTAAGGCCACCGACATTTTAGGTACACTTCCAAAGTATACACGGTTTCCAGGGTATCTGCGTTTCAGTGTATGAAGGAAGCTGTTCTATAAATTCGTATTAGCCATTTTAAACGATTTTATTTTATTTGTATGTTATATATATTATTTATTTATATTTAATTTCGTTTTTTAGAAAATTGTAAAACAAAAACATTAATGGAGCTCTATTGGTATAAAGTGATATCCTTAATTCAGACTTAGAAACTTATTTTAAAAGAACAATCAAAATAAGCGAAATAAGATTTGAGAGTAAGCTTTCTGATAGTTTTGTAAGTACCATATATGCGAAAGATTTCTTTAACAACATTTTGCAACAATTCTCATGTTTATTGCAAGTGACTTGCACTGTATTTTGCAAAAACTTACAATTGTTAAATATTAAACGACCGGATATTAACCGAAATGTGAACCACTAAAAAAGGCACATAATGCACTTGTACAATCAAATACCTTCTTCAAGGGTATAAACAGAAAGCAAAGATCCGACATGGCTTATATATTGTGGTGAAATTGTTGTTGTCGTTTCCTTGTCTTTATTTTTACCGTCTTGTGTTTTGTGTTTTGTGTGTCGATCTCGAGCGCACCTTTATGGTCTATTATACTAACGGGAATGCCCCGAGAGCAACGACAATAATAAGCAAATTGATTGAAATATGCGATATCATGGTAACCGCAACTCAAACGGAAACGCTCTGGTCGCACTGGCCGCTCCCTCCACTTCCCCCTTACCCATCCACTCCCTCGTACCGCTCGCAATTGTGTGGTAGCGCATTAAATGTCGATTTCGTTTTGCACCCGCGGCGCAGATACGCAGCCAGCGATACGAGAAGTACGCAGTGGTGCAGTGGTGCTTTATTGTTGGCTCGGTGGTGCTGGGTCACTGCCAATGCCACGCAGAGGGGTGCGGCCCCGAAATCCCAGCGATGACGCCCACCCAGCCAGTGGGCAATCTTGGACGGCTTTCCTGCCGCTCTTCGGTGGCCCAAAAGTGCTGAATGCCGAATGGCCCGATATCGACAGCCATGTTAATGTGCCTTAAATAAATCATTAGCGCATTGTTTGGGGCCATAAGGAGCAATGGGGACTGCGGCCAATTGGATTGCAAGTGTTCGGCTAGGCGTTAAGCACCAAATGGCCCAAGAACGGGCCATGGAATTGCTGCCTAGAAAGGGGAAGTGAATGGAGCTATTAGCTGGAAGTTGGTTAACCGATGCGATCTTCCTTTGGTCAAGTAGACACGCGTTCGAAGCCAAATTCTGCCAAATGGCAGTTGCCAACTGGCAACACACGCGCTTAATTAGCATGCAGCAATCTAAACACAAGGGGCAACTTCATCTCAGACGATCTCATACGAAAAACACGTTGCTTTTCTGGCCAATTGCTGCCCCAAAATGTAAGACTCGACCGTAATGACAACTCTTTGGCTCGTGTGCGTTCGTCTGTCGATTTTTATTGGCTTTTCATTGACTGCCGACAGAGCCACAAAAAACCAAGGCAGAATTCTTTTTGAGTTCGCCGTTTGTTTTTGGGCGTTCGAGTAATTAAAACGCTGTAAAAACTGGCAAAATGTGTTAACCAGTTTAGACCGATTTTAGTCTTTTTCTACACCCTTGGCATGCGTTGCAATTCACAATTTTTTGTCTCTCAGTAACCCCTCCCCCGCCCCAGGGTTATGTAATGCGTTTTAATGTCCCCACAGAGTTTTATTTTTTATGGCATATGTATATATACCTTGGTTTTGAGTGCAGTCTAATAGATACATTCCATTCGGCACATGCAAATGTATGATTTCCTGTCGAAGCCAAACGGCCATAAATAGGCAATTTGGCGCTCTGGCCGCTTAACGCCAACAACATCATCGGGAAACGGGCTCGAGTTGAATCGAATCGATTTTCGTGCACTTAACACCAACAGCTCTTTAACCCGCAACGAGCTGGTATACCCTTAAAGGCTTTTTTTGTACAACAATTTGGCCAAAAATGTTTTCAATCAGAAACGAGGCGGTAAGTGCCGGGGGATGGTATCGCCACTACAGTACTCACCAGCAATCAAGGCCAGCTCCCAGCTAGAGCCAGAGTCATAGCCAGAGCCACAGCATCATTATCAGCCGCCGTGCTGATTATCAACATGTGCACTGGCTGCTCGACAGCGCCGCATGTGCTTTTGCCCTCGATCCATAGATCAAGATCATAAATAGCAATAAGCCGGCCAGACAATGTCTGCTAACTGTTTCAGGCAATCAATCAATCCATCTGCCGCAGCCGCTGCAAATTCAGCCTCAGCTTCAGTTTCAGCTTCGCGAGTCTGCTGTTCCTGCCCGTTTGGAAAGTTCATTCAGTTGCGCTTCAGTTTTTCCTTCTTGCGGGGGGAAAGGGTATCTTGGAATAGCCTGGACGAGGCTTACAGGGTACCAGCCAGTTGATTGCGGCAAGTGCTGGTCTCAAAACGTGATCGATTGATTTGCGCGATCGCTGCTAGAGCCACGGCAAACTGCAAATGGCAAACGGCAAGCTGCAAACTGCAAACGGCAAGTTCAACGAGCCCGATTGACTGACTGACTGACTGACTGCTGACTAGATAATTGTGGCGTTCTGCGGCTGATGCCACTTTTTGCACTAAACAGCTGGGGCAGACCGCATAGCTGCATTCCAGATCCAGCCCGGGATCTGTGGGCCAAGCTGGCTGGCAATCTGTCAGGCTGACAGTTGGCCCAGTCGCGC